AGTGTTCTTCGTTGGGCTCTTGGTGGCCTTCCTCGCGGCTTCCTTGGGTTCCTTCCTTGCGGCTTCCTTGGGGTGTCGGCATCCACAGGATTCACGTGTTCCATGCAATGTTTTCTGATGAATAAAGATGCAATCAATGAAAGAAGATATTTCTTTTGGGGGCTTGCACATCTCCAGATGCAAGCTACAACACAAATTTATGGGGTCACACATTGAGATAATGAAGTTTGATGGGCACATGAACTTGGTATCAACTCGATTGTACTTCCAAATATGAAATACTGCTGATCCAGATCTGATGGAGGTGGTAGGCATATAGCCCTAAGTAATACGAAACATCAAGTGCTTCAGATCATGCAAACTATGGCTAATTTAGTTTCACCACCTCCTGAATCTAAAAGGTTGAATTCTCAAGCTTCACAGAAATATCTGCTAACTCATAAAGAACAGATTGATTTGGAAAAAACCACTAAATATTTCTATCACTTGTCCTAAGGTATCAAAACGGATAATAAAACTTGGCTGAGCATAATAGGGCCAAGAACAATTATTCATGGGAGATTTTTTTATCACAGAGTAGACGAAGCTAAAATTTAGCAAGTTGAGTGTTCGACCTTTCATCAAATATTTGAAGATTTTCCAAGGGTTTGATGGCAGTTCCGAACATAGTAGGACCGAGTGCAATGATTCATGGGGAAATGCCGACATAGACTTCGTCATCTCCTCAGCCTACAAATTTCTAAGTCAAATAAAGAATTGTCAGTGACATGACAAATCATATTCATTGCTTCAAACATGCATAGTTCAACATGTTATCGCTCATCACAAATTTATCTGAACAATCAACAGACGTGCACAGTATGGTGACCAGTATGGCGAAAAGACAAACAAACGATAGGAGAGGAACATAGATGCATACCACAGGGAACCTTAATGGGACCATTGACGTTGAACATGTGATCCCACATGGCACAATATCACAATGTCTTCTCAATCATGGCATCTGATCTCTGACGATCGGTGACATGCGAGTCCAAAAGTTGATAACTTGTAGGGTTCTTCACTGTCAATGCACTGTGCTATAAGAAGGTGCCCAACATGAGCCCCACTCATTGATACAACGATATAAAGGAGTTTTGATCCAATCCTAGGCCATGTACATTCCCATTCATCCAATTGTAATAACACTTGAAAAGATTACAAAGAAGCAGACATGGCAATCACATTCACATACTTTACAGGTTCTGCCTATACTCCATAAGGCCATTCAAGCACCAGTCAGCTATATGAGACAAACACAAATACAAATTCCAGAAATTGTAACCATATATGTCAAAAATGATCAGAGAATGGAACAAATACGAATCCACATTGAACAGTAGGCATATATGAGAAAAAAACAAGTGCTTTGAAAAATCCATATGTAATAAAAAATTAATTTAGATCTATCAGTTGAACTTTCTTTTTGGATAGGGATAATATAGAGAAGAATAAGAGACAGATGAGAATATGAGAATATCTTATAATATAAAAGGCAATTGAATAACAAATTTCTAAGTTTGTTATTGGCAACTATAAAACCTTGAGATATATTCAGATAAACTCAAGTAGAAGATTTTAAATAGCAAAATTCAAATGTGGATATAAAAATATAAGAAGCATTCGGGTTTTCATCATATCTGGCACCACTTAGATGTGGAAACTGACTCCCACAGATGCTATCTAACTAGCTTTGAGAGGGGGGGGAATATATCTAAACTGACTCCCTTGTCATGCCACATTCTTCTCATGATACCGTTCAACTAATTGTCTGATTGATTCACGTCTTAATATAATACCTTTGGAACTTTGAGAGGGGGGGGAATATATCTAAGCATGCGTTTAATACTTCCAACCACTAAAACATAAAGCACAATGATTGGACAAACATATCATAAAGAGTTTTTGTTTATGAAAAGCAGAATAATATCACAGATAACCTCTACCATGAGAGAACACCCAACCTCCACTTAGAAAGTGGAGAAGAATTCCCTTGGACAGAGGGCAAAGCACAAGGATCTGTTTTCTATTTGGAAGTTATGAGGTAGTTCAGGAAAGGCTCAGCTTTCGGATAGTGAGGCTTGAGCTCATCAAGTGTGGCTAATTCATTGTCGTCGAATTGAAACGCTGGGGCACAAGTCACACCAACCAGAGAATAGTGCAGCTCAGGATCCCGGCTGCTGGTTTTGACAAGAACACTGCCATCATCAGGAGAGGACTCAAACATCCAAGGTAAGGAAAGCACCAAACCACACATTTGGTGGCACTGTATACTGGGGGCAATGACCCGCTTCCAGGTCTCGACCTATGATGGTCAACTTTACCTGGCCATCATCTAGTAGTTCAAATACCTGGTTCATGACCAATTCACAAAGGGAGAACATAATTAGTTTCATATGAACGGTGCATTTTAGCAAACAAGTCAAAATAAGGAAGCTGATGTACCGTGAGAGGTTCTCCCATGTAGAAGTGCCAGGTCTCGGCACAAGGGATACGATGGAGATGAGCAACGTTCCCTGATGGAAGCAAGAAGTAGATAGCTGAGCTCACAGCACGATCCACGTTGTCTGATCAGATTTCAATTAGCAGCAGTAGACAAACAGGAAACTAGAACAACTAAAATCATAATCAGCAATATTTCTCCCGAAAACTAATAACTTGAAGCTTGGTCTTATAAAATTCATCACTAGTCACACTATAAGTGGTCACAAGTGCCTGGTCTGTCAAATTCCAGAGTTGATACATGATTCATCTTAAATAAATATGTTTCAAAAGGAATTATGAAAGAAATTCACAACCAAATTCTCCAAAAACAAGGATGTTGATATTTTCATGCTAATGTGGATCTTATATGTGGCCAAATACTCTATATATGCAATGATACTGGGAGTCCATATGGTCTTCAACAAGGCGATTATATGACTATGTCTACTTATGTGGCTTCATATAGTTTTAGAAAATTATGATGAACACATCAAGGAATTATGGAAGGACAGAAAGTCTCAGAAAAGTGTTACGTTAGTTCCAAAATGATAATCATGGTGTCTAGCAGTAACATATGCAGCAAAATGAATCAGAGAATCTTTTTTGGGAAAACTAAATATTTTGTTTTCAGGTCTCCTTCAACAAGGCGATCATATGACCATGTCTACTTATGGGGCTGCATATACTTTTAGAAAATTATGATGAACACATCAAGAAATTATGGAAGGAAAGAAAGTCTCAGAAAAAGGGTTACTTTAGTTCCGAAATGATAATCATGGTGTCTAGCAGTAAATATGCAGCAAAATGAATCAGAGAATCTTTTTTGGGAAAACTAAATATTTTCTTTTAAGGTCGATGATGTAAAAAACTATAAATTTACAAAGACATCCATAAGAAAAGATGATATTATATTGTATGTGGCTTCACTATCATTTATCAACCAAGGAAGCAAGATGAAAATAACTGGCAAGGTCAATCCAAGGACAGAAAGATCTGTGCGAGAAGTAAGGATAAAACAAAGGGCTTTCTTGATCTTGTTTCTCATTTTTCCCCTTAATACATGAGATCAAGCCAAATATTTGAGGAGGTAAGATGGATAGGAAGATCTGTGCCAGGTGTATACGAAAAAAAAGAAAAAACTCCCTTGGACATAGGAACTAATAATTTCCTTTGATCTTATTTTCCTTCGCCGTTGTTACATGTAACCAAAACAGTCCTCTTGGAATAAATCATCTGATAGGTCTACATACAAACACAGGTAATGTCATTTCTGCTACTTGAGCATCCGTCTTCTACTTGTCAAATCGCATCCTATTTCACCCTAATATGCTCCGATTCTAAACCTAAACCCATAATCAAAACCCTCAACAAGCTTCCCAAAGAATTCAGTTGCTTCTGTTGATTCCAGCACTCGTGTGACGTCTCACTAATCCATAAATATTAATGGAGCGAAGAGATTATGATCCAAGGAACCTGGTGAAGAACGGTAAGTGCTTACATTGGGGTGGGAGCTGAGATCTGGAGAGTGTGATGGAGGAGTCCCTGAAGGTCTCCAAGTAGAAGCCACCGTCGGGGTGAGGCTGTAGATTCAACAGAGCTGCGACCTCCGACGCTTTCTTCTTCGGTGAACCCATTCCTTGGTGTTCGGCAATCGGCACAAGCAATGTTTCCGACCCATGGAAGGGGAAAACTTAGTCCGTAAAATTGGCTCGAAGACCGCGAACGGCGAATTGGTTGGGTTCGACCCAATGTCCGTCTTGAGCTCCGCTTTATATATATATATATATATATAATCATTTTCCTCTTTAACCTGTCAAATGAGGAGGTGTTGGATTTGATGGGTGTTTTCCAAAATTCCTTCTCTGAAAGAGAAATGGCCACAACTTCATCTGCGTTTGAATCCTACCAAGAGATATATTGTTTCTCTTGTCCCTTCTGATGATCGAAAAATAAAAAATAATTGATATATTGAAAATAATTATGTATTTATAAAGTATCATCTCAATTCATTCCAATGTAGGATTCCAGTAAGATTTTATTCTTAAACAAAAAATTATTTTTTGATTTATTTTATTTATTCCATAATTAAAACGATATATATATATATGTATATATGTATATATATATATGTATATATGTATATATGTATGTATATATGTATATATATATATATATATATATATATATATATATATAACCAATATACGATACAGAGTGTTAAAGATTTTTCTATCATAAAAGAAAATATTAAACATTCTAGAATC